CAAAAAATGCTTCGTAAAAATATTTATTTAATAATGTATCTAAACTGGATTGAAAAAAAACTAGATACATGTTAAAAAAGCTTTATCCTATTGTAATGGTCCTACTTGCATATAAAATATTATTAGTTTACTAAAATATTGCGATATAATATATTATTATTTCAAACAAACCAAGATTTATGTGAACAGAGAACTGCATATTTTCATTGTAAATTCTTCTAGTTATTTTATTTTTGTTTATACATTGGACGATTATCTTTAGAAACTAGTTTAACACATTATTTGCCGAAAAGTGATTATTTTTCATGTTATATGAACTCTGAATTATTGGCCTGCGTATGTCGTATGTGTATAGTTCAATTGTATAATGTATAATGTATTTATTTTTATTTAATTTTTTGCAGAAGTTTCACAGGCCTTTAGAGTCATAATATGCATTTAATATACTTTTATTTTATTTAGTTTATGCACTATACTAAGTTAAGTACCTTGTACATTTGATGTTTGAAAAATTATAATGTCGACCAGCACATTCAGATTAGGTAATTACTTGCTGTTTATATCCTATAATCGTATATTTAATCGACGACAAATATTTTCGTTTATAAACTGAGCATTTTTATGGAAAAATTTATATATTCATGACAAATACTGGTGATATTTTTTAAAGGTAATATAAATTAAATAATGTACATATATTATATTTTTAATGTCAGGAAAATAATTTTTTATTATTTCATATTCTACTGTTAATTAGCACGTTTCGCGCACTCTTTCTTCCGTGTTTTTCTGTTATTTATTACATAATTTGAATCTTTTGCATGCCAACTTAGAGATTCTAATAGGTACGAATAAGTCATGTTGTTTCAAATAAAATACATACATCAATATTCATTGATGAATAAAAATAAAACTTGCACTCATTTTTTCACAAAAACTGATGAATTTTCACTCATTTCAAGATATATTGGAAAAATTATTCAAAAAATTAATTCAACCTAAGATCAATAAAGCTATTATACTACTGTACCACACTAAACTTACATATTCAATAGTAGTGATTATGGCTCGAATTTTATATTAGTACGAGTAACACATTCAACACCGTGTACTTTTCGTTGCCTCTATGAAAAAACCCGTAAATATTTTTCCTGGTTTAATACTGTAATAATTAGTTTCCGTTATTTGCATACGTCTTAATTTACAATGTACAAAAGATAAATATGTAATTCTCTATTTTATTCTATTCATTTTCTTTACTTTCTACCAAATTTTAACACGGCGATATTAATTTCAGTATTACAGATGGTAATAAAATTAACGATTTGTACTGATAATTTCAAAATACGAGTATAACGTATTACTTTCTCAAACCTATTTATTAACGGCATATTTCCATTCTTGCAGTTAATTATATGCATCCATGTTAATTATTAAAAAATTGAATTTACTGGTGAAATATAAATCTCACACTTCTAAATATATAATAATAATATTTCAAAGTATAGGAAAATACAAAATTTCGCGCTCTTTTTTAGCATCAACCAATCAACGTTGGATGTCGGCGACTCATCATTTTTTTAAGATAAAAAAAAATAATAAAATAAAAAATAAAATTAGAATAAATTACATCGAATTCATGTTATTTTTTATTTTTACTTCATACATTATTCATCTGAATGATATATTTTTTGTTTTCTATTTAAAAAAAAATTTGATCATTCACATACTAAAGAAAAACCATTTAAACTTTCGCGCTTTTTCAACGCTCGACCAATTACGACGCGGGATGTCGGTGACGATATTCCGTCCATTTTTTTAAGGATTCTGTCCATTATAAAATTTTTGTTAACAGAGAACTACATATTTTCTTTGAAAATGTTATCAATTCTTTATTAATATTATTTATTTAACAAATTTACAAGTTTCTTTAAAATATTGATATAATATTTATAGTAAACATTTTTGTAAATATTATTTTGTGTATTATTTATTTTTTTTAATAGATATGGACAATTTTTTAGAAACTTTTGTAATACTTTTAATATATTTTTGACATTATGACTATGTTGACGTAATTTTTTACTTATAAAATTTGAATAAACTTCTTATATAATTCAAGAACATTTATGAGTTCTAGGAAAATCAATAGATAATATGCAGTAATATCTATTGATGGTTTTATAAAAAGCTTGAACTTTAATCTACTTGATAATAAATTGCATAGTCACATGACGTTTATCAAATAGCTCGTAAACATTTCATACGTAACTAACGAACTCTTGTTACTAAAATTGTTTTAATACACACTTCAGTGTAGTTATTCACTGTTAAGAAAATATATATTCTACATACATTTATAATCATGTTGAACTATTTAATCATTATTTTACTTACCATTGGTACACTCACTGTTTACAGTAAGCTCAATAAAATTATATATATTATTTTTCACGTTTATTTTGCTACTGTGTAAGCCGAAAAAACTTAATTTTTTATATTTATGACTTTCAGAAGTAAAATATGAGTTTTAGAAGTAAAGAAATTAAATAGCATATAAATATAAGTGTATTTTTAATCTTCAATGTATTATATAAAATATTAAGATCAACTATTTTAATCAAATTAAAACGTTAAAAAAATTCATGAATATTTTTTCATTATTAATACGGAAATTAATAAGACATAATAATGAATGAAAAAATGTGTTAATTTATTACTTTTGTTCTTGATTGTTAATAATTATTTATATTAAAAGTTTTAAACATGTTTTAGCCTTAGCTATATATAGAACTCCATGTAGTATTACATCGTGTTTAAGAAGATGCGCTCAGATTGGAAACCAAAGAGGTTTTTGTACTTACGCTGATGGATGCCGATGTGGCCACCAGTAAAGACAAGGTTCAACTATCGTGTATTATGATAATTTAAGTATAGATTTTTTCAGTGTAACTTAAAATAATTCTAATAAAAAAAGATGAACATAAACAGATGAATTTTGTAAACATTTTAATTACTTTATTGATTCACAAATATAATTTAAAATATACCAAAAGATTTAATTTTCAATACATTGTAAATTATTACATTACAATCGTTCGCTATATGTATTTCATCAATCCATGGAATTAAATATTTAATATACAAGTAGTCGAAAGCGAGTGTAAAAGAAAAATAATACTAAACATTAATATACAAAGTTTATTATTTACGCATCAATTCTGTACAAATATCATATAAAAGGATTTCACTACAGATGTAAGTAAGTATGGTAAATTTGATGAATTACAGTGCTCAATAAAAAATAAAACTGATTCTGCGCACTCAAGTGATGAGGGTGCACGTCACGCGACATCTATCGATTTTTGTTAAAGAACTTATCCCTAATTCGTAACAAGCGCGTGTAAAAAGAAAATGAGGTATAAATGTAGGAATAAAATGGGCAATAAAATAATAAATAAAATAAGTCAACAATAGAGTATTTACTGAATTTGTGATTTTGAAAATGTAATAAAAAGAAATTTTAATTATTTATTTATTCTTTGTATAGATATTTCTTTTTCATAACTATTTAAGCTCTAAATGTAAAAAATTATTTCATCTAACACTTACAAAATAATTATACTGTTCCCCTTTTCAATTTACTTGGGCAATTAAAAAATTCCGACTTTGCGTAAAACGTAAAACATAGCATTATTTTAATTTTTGGTAGTTTGTAAAATTTGCGATAACTTTGGATTTTCTGTTAATCTTGAAATAAATTGTTCCAATTGCACTGAACACAAAACAGAAGATCAATATGATTGTAATCAGTAACACTCGATACCATGAATATTTTATATCGTCAAGTATTTCGTTTATCAACAGCAATAGTGGGTCATGGCAAATGTTATTGGCTATCAATGTCAATAACGAATAGAAAACTAAGTCGTTTAAATGTAAATATTTTTGATTTTTTAAGTATAACTTTATTGTATAATCTATAATCCACGTCCATAACGACCCTATAATCATCAAGTAATTAAATATCCTACTCTGCAAAAATCATCAAATATAATAAAAAAAAGTGTTATTTTTGTTATTTTATAAAAAGTTAAATATATACCTACTTATACCTTATCAATAAAGTAGGACAATATTAATCCAATAAATATTCCAGTAACTTTTATTAGTCTTGAAAACTCTATTGTAGATAATCGACTGGATGTCTCGAGAAGTATATTCCTTTTCTGTAATTATTGATTAATTTAATTATTATTTATTTAAATAAAAATAAATATACAGTATTTTGGCAAATTATTTAATTATTTTTTGTGTTTTGTACTTATTAAAATAAACAGAAAAATATACTTCTATAGAAAATGTTAATTGACCCTTTTTTCAACTTAATGATCTGTAATCTTTCCATGAAAATATAGTAATAAATTATTGAAACAAATATACCCCAGCGTAATTCTTCATTATTGATGAAAATTTAATTATGTTAGTCCTCTATATTATGTGATGAAAAAAAACAGCACATTAGCAAAAACTTTCGTCGTCGTTTATGAAAACTTGTAGTATTATCAAATGAAAAAAAAAATTTTATTATTATAAATCGTAAGAAAAGAATACTGTAGCCTTATGAAACGTAAAAAAAGAATATTGTCAAACTATTCTATGAATACGGTCAACAAGACTGAAGAGCGCGCCAGACGTTATATATATATATATATATATATATATATATATATATATATATATATATATATATATATATATATATATATATATATATATATATATATCGATTTATTTTCAAGAGCCATACAAGTAGATTCCTAATATGAATGCGCAAACGCAGAAATCGAAGAGACTTTGTGTTGATAAACAATTGAGTTACATGTAATGAATTATAAATCTATATGCAAGTGAGAAAGAAATTGTGGTTATTATATTAATAAAGCTAAAATTTCTTTAAAATCTACTATTCGCACAGAAATTATAATCTAAATATTCCTTTACACGTGATGTATAGATCTGCGTCACTTTGAAACTGCGAACGATTTTGCGCAAAAACAAATCATGTGGTACAGAATGTTTAAGTGATGATTTTTTGAATTCATCAAATAATTCAAATTTCTCACTAAAGTTGCATAAATATTTAATTAAATTTTCTTTTCATATTAGGTGGAAAAGATTTATTTTAATTCACAACGGATATATATTTGAACCTTTATTACGATTATAATTGTTCACAGAAGAAAAGGCATTTATTTCACGATTTATGAATGATCCAAGCTGTCTTCGCATAAATCTAACAAGCATTAAAAATTCTTTCACAACCCTCAATATTTGGTGCAAATGCGTGAGAACCATAGATGAGCAGGGTCGGTGGGTAATTTAGATTTCTACCATTGCATTATATGGGTCATCACTTTGGAACACTTCGATCGATATTTTTTAGAGGAAAAGAAATACAGCATGTGTGTAAGTGAAGTTGGAAAATGTAGGTTTCAACTGTCCTATAAATTTAAAAAGAGCGTAACGGTTTTACCCTTATAGAATAAATAAATAAATACTCAAATCAGCATGGAATGGAAACAGGTAACTTGCCTGCTGAATAATTAATAAAATCACACCTTTTTGATTAAAATTTATTGTCATTTTTAATTTTTTATAAAAAGATTACGTTCAATATAAAATATTTTTGATGTGAACAATAACGAAAAAAGAAAGAAAAAACAATAAAAATTATTGATTCTTTCACTACCGATGAACTGTGCATTTTTTAATAACATCGACATTATAATTCGTCTTTTGATTGACCCACGCGTCGAAAATTGCCTGGAACGTGAGGATGCATATATGCGTGTACTTTTCGTACTTTGGGTGGATGGTGTGGCATGCCTGAAAAAGCTAGTACTTGGCAAAAACTGATGAACGACAGTACCATAAGAAAAATTTCGATAGCTTTGAAGTATGATGAGTACTTGTGTCGATAAAATATTGTCTGACGGGCTATTGCAAAAATCCACATTACCACTTGCATACAAGTGTAATTTGTTGTAGAAGTCTGTTAAAAAATCACATCGAATATTAAATTTTATTCGTGTTGATACATCAAACTATTGTAAGCCACAGATATCAATAACTTGCCATGTTAATAAATTTCAATAATATTAATCCACTAATTATAATAGGTACCGTTTTGAATATATTAGAGTATCTAAATATATCTTTCAAGCGTATTCCAGAACGTTTAAATTCTTGTAACTGTAAGATAATATAAAGATTTATAGTAAAGCACAGAATAATTAATTTAGATTAGATAATACAAATAAAGAAAACAATAATTTGATAATTACTAATTTATTCCTTCAATTTTTCACGAAAGAATCAAAAAAGCTTTATTTGATAAAATAACGTGTCAAAGGCATTAGCGATTAAATCAGCTAAACATAAATACTGTAAAAAATTTTACAAATAAGAGTTTCTTGTCAAAGAAAAAAAATCTCTTTTAGTCAAATTGATGTGCTTTTGAGGTTAGAGTGAAAAATTTCTATGAAGATGGAGTATATTCTTGTAATCAAAATATTGATACACCAAATAGCGTATAAAATATATTTTTTAGACAACAATAATTTTGTATTATTTTTGTTACCAGTTATAAAATTTATTATTATTTGTAAAAATAGTATAGAATAATTAAATTCATCATTAACATTAAATATCTATAATTTTAAAATAGATTAATTCTTAATACTTAAATATCAATTGGTATTAATCACTTGTTGGTGTTATGATTTCCACTTACTAAGAATACAGATGGAGAAAGTATCATGCAAAGATATGTCCAATTAATATCCTCCATGCTTGATAAATCAACTACTATTTGTTAAAAGGAAAAGAAAAACTATCCACAACGATGATAAAAGCCCAAGTTTCGATGTTGCTTGTGGAAAACTAGGAAGCTGCAGAACTGAAAAGATGAATCTTCTGGAATGATTCTGCGCATTCAGCTCCAGAGAGGCTGGTTTATCGATTCATCTTGGAAGTGTGCTGGTATACAGACTCTACATAGCTTGCGCAAAGGTGCAAGGTGAGGGATGCTGACCGGGCTTGAGAGGGTATTCAATAAAGGGTCGATACATAATTTTATTAAATGTCTTTATATGAAATTGAGCAAAACAAATGGGGAATCAAACTAGCAATAGCAATTGGGAATATCTATAGATAACTGCAAATAGTTGTATAGTGATTGATAATTTATGTAATATTAATACGTAAACAGCGACATATCAAATTGTATAACTTTGGCGCTCAAATTTTACTGAAAGAAATCCATGAAGTTTCCATCATGTCACTGGTGTCGTTTTCGCTCTTGTAGTGTGATCAGTAAACAGGAAATCTTGATAAGAACTTTATATACACCGTAAATTGAAAATAGAATAGACTTTTGCGTTTTATCGCAATTACGGGTTTCGATATTTATACATCGTTTCATTTACAAATTTCCACCTAACATAAGGGAAAAAGACAATATGCATTTATAGAAATTGAATTTAAATTTTATTCATAAAAAATATATTTCATCGTTAAAGTAAAAGTAAAAATTATCCAGTTATTTATGAAATATTAATTTAATATATAAAAATTCACTTCTAATTTTCAATTTAATGATTTGATAGATTAATCAAATACATGAAAATCACTGCTAAGACATTTGTAAAATCAAAGAGATTGCAATAAAACTATTTCTTGAAAAAATTTCAAATGATAAAATATTGAATATTGATCAATATTAAATAAAGTATCGCTAATAATTTATTCTTAGGTTTAATGAAACGTTTAGATGACTATTTAGTGAATATGTTCTAATTAGTAAAATTAAAAATTTAGGTTTCTTATAAAATACAACTTCTGTTTTCGATTTCAATTAAAATCGGACGTTCAAGATACACTTCAATAAATATTAATAAACGACTATTTGTCTTGGCTTTAAAACTTTTCTTCAACTGTAAACGGTATAATTGATTCATAATTTTCATCAGTTTCTTATTTTGCTTTTTATTGCTATCGCGAAATATTCTTCATCTTTCCTAAGTCGCATATTACAGAAATTACTGTATGTTGCGTTGCAAAAATATTTTAAAAAACTTTGTAATAAGAAAAATTATGGTCGTAATAAAATCAAAATAACATGCACATTATAAAACGAAAAGTCCATAATACCCTTGCATACCAGTAATGGGTTTTGATTGAAAATTATGCCTGTATAATTTACTATGGCCAGTCACACATACTGTAACTCTTGCGAAAGAAAATGGCGAGCGCATTATAAGAGTTCAAGTACCCAAATAATTCAGTATGTGGGTTTACAGTGGCATATCAGTTATACGACATTATTTTGCAGATAGTGGATTGATGACGGTATCGAATATATTTTTCTATAACCAGATTCGCTGTCGAAAAATTTAAAACATTCAATTCTCACTTGTCAATGTTCTTCGTGTATAGGACTATAAACAACACCGTAGTTATTCTTTACCCATACTTACCTTTTGCTAGTTTAGTGATATTGAATAAAAATGTAAATTTCATGTAATTAATTAATAAATAGATATTTGAATAAAATAATAATAAAATTTTTCAAACAATTTGAAGCCACCGTGACTTGACAGGATTATAAAATGTTCAGAATGTGTTGTGGAAGTGAAAAGTAACATAACCAGCAATAGATTTTTCATTAGAACTCGAAACGATCAACAAAATTTGTAAAACATCTCATTATCATTCAAATAGAAAAAGAAATAGCCAACATAATGCTCGTTGTCGTACAGTTATGAAGAGAGGCTCTATCCACAATCCATAAGAGCGTACGAACGCAAAGACGCGTCTTATTGGGTTATACGCGCACCCTGATATTGCGCGCGAACTAGCTAGCTGGCTGGCATTGTCAAAGAGTAAAAACACACTACATGGCGAGAGTGAAAGAGAGAGAGAGAGAGAGAGAGAGAAAGAGAGAGAGGTGAGATGAGTCAGTAGCATAAATCGCGAATGTACTCTATGATGTACTACGGGGGGCTGCTTGCGCAACGGCGCACCTGAATTTCTCTCATTCGTGAGAGCTCACGCGAGCAAAGCTCACGTTTCGACTTTATACAACGCGCATTGTTGCCTAATTGGCGTCTCCTCTCTCGCTCGCTCTCCCACCTGTGAATTGAATATTTTCGAAAATTGTCGTTCGCACGGGGATTTATGAAACGATTGTAAGCAAAGTGTTATCTGATACACTCGGCTTGATTTAATTAAATTCTTGCGCAGCTCGGAAAATTATACACGTTTTATTTTTTTTCTGTGCTGCAAGTCGATGGTATCAACGCGGCGTACGCGCGGTAGCGCGAGCGACGATTAACAGGATCAAAGTTCCGTAAAACTATCCAGATATTCTTTCCCCCGAGACATTTGTTGCGAACGAGCGAAAATTAATTCACACGTGTTCGTCGTCGTACTCACGTAATCCTTTTGCCACTTTGCTATTGGAGAATAGTGACATAAATGGCAACCAATGGTGAGAGGAGGTTTCAATTAGGGTACATACGCTTTCTCGCGCTCTCAATGAGTGACATAATAACTGTTATTAATTTTTACGCTGGTACTGCGAAAAAGGCCACGGCTAATTTCTTTTTTTTTACGACAAGGAATGTAGTGTGGACTACTAAATTTTTACTTGTAAACAAGTTTTGGAGATATGACTGGTAATGTTTACAACGTGGAATGAAAATCGGAGGAAATTAGTAATTTACAATCGATGATTATCAGTGCTAGAATTGTCATTGATCATAGCATTGGTGAACAGTTTGGTGCGTGTGGTAAATGATAACTTGTTTCGACAACGCGGTTATTTTGGCTAAAAATGTATTATATCAGTGATAGAAGGAAAATGAAAGGTATCAACTCTGGTGATAAATAGATTAATACACAACATATACAATATGAAATAAAATTTCATATATTGATGTTATATATAAAATAACTATGATTTAAACGAAATTAATATAGTAAAGACAATAAATTTATTATCGATTTCCTAGAATGATTCGAAACTCCTATTTCTGTGTGTCATAGACCATCTTTTAAATGATCATGCTTCAGCTTAGTAGAAAATTACTTATGTCGATTGAAAATAATAAATAAAATAAATAATTGGTGACTATATGTGGAAAGTCAAATACGACCCAATCGATTTTCTACTCAAAAACAAATTCAAGCTATTGTAGACAGAAATTATGGATATTTTGCAAACCGCACGTATAATCATACTCATCAAAGCTATAAAAGTGTTATCTATATATTGTCACCAATTTCAATCATTCCTTATTGAGTAAAGTCATTTGATTATATTGGAAAATATTACAAATACACATTTTGCATAAAATCAATTGACGAAAACAAACTACTTAGCAAATACTTTAATTGGTATCGCACTTTGCATTATGCACTCTTATTTCTCCAAATAAGAATAATCGAATTCTTCGAAGAGCACACTGTTCGAGTATATATAATGGACCTATAAAATGGTCGCGGTAAAGATCCGGTTAACGATCGATACACGAAGCAGTTAACAATCTCAATGACCGTAAAGCAAAAAACGTCGTTTGTTCCCTCTTATTTCAGTAGTAAACGGTTCATATGCCGACAAAAGTTGGAAAGTGATAAAGAAGAGCAATACGGGACCTTAATGATTTTACGTAATGATAGCCTTGCTTGTAATTGATCCAACTCTCGCGGGCATTTCTCTTCCCGATTAATTGTCTTGATGTAAGATATTTTATTGCGATAATTTGGTTTTCATTTATCCCGCTGCTGCTCGCAGATAGGACTCGCCGCAAAAATCGTATCATCCGAAACAAAGTGAAAAGCCACGGGAGAGCCTCGAATCCGTTACGTGCCGGTGTGTAAGTGAGTGCACCGCCTACAACATTGCACAACCTAATTCCGCGCGCCGAGGTATCGTCTCGAGGGATCTCTTTTTCACGACACGCCGCCACGTCGCTTTTGTCGGTTACAAGCTCCGATGATGGTGGGACGCGCGGAACGGACAGAGCTTCCCCAAATAGAAAATATACAAAGGCTCGTGCAGTGTGCGCGCGTTATCCGATGCATTTTGATAAAGTGACGACCATCGATCAGCTATTATCTCGTTATCACGCTCCGCTCGCTGCGGTTACGCAAGTTTCGCTTGCGTGACAGCGTCGCGCACAGAGTACATCTAAATCACCCGAGTGGACCGGGCCGCCGCGTCGCTCGCTCTCCATTTGTCATGAAACGCGCGCGTTCCAGCGAATCAGTTTTTGCCACTCCGGCTCAGTGAAAGCCTCTTAATTTTTCCAATTTATTACTTAATACCCGCCCCGCGCGATCAGGACTCGCCTTTTCTCTTTCTTCTGCCTCAGTTTCATTTTCCTCGTTAAAGATTAAGTTTTTCGCCGATCGCTAATTGCCAATGGAAATGTCGGCTTCTTTCGATGTCGAACGCATAAATTTACGCCTGCAGATAGCGCGCCGTCAAATTGCACTCGAAAAGTTCTCGGTTAATTAAGGCGTCGCCCAATTGGATCGCTCTTCAAATTTTCAGCGAGCACACGCGCGGACCTGATGAATTATTCAATGCAACGCACGCACTATTGAGCGCCCCGTCGCTAATCTCGCTTACTGCCTAAATAAGAAAAATTCAGCTATAGTCTACCCATACCCAAGCATGTGCATGTGCATACCCGCGCGCGCGCGCACACACACACACACACACATATGCGCACGCATCGGCTTATGACTTTTTGTTTTTTCGTTCATTGTCGCGTGATTTATTGTTGCGCCATGTGCATAGAATGAAACGCGCGTGGATTGAGTTCGTTATTATTGTTATCAAGCCTGTTTCATTACTCTACTTTTCTCCTTTCGTGTTCAATTGATTTATCA